TCCTCAGGTCCTTCGACTTCCTGTCGAGGATCGCTACTGGTCGCTCGATGTAACAAGTGGTGAGATTCTGGATTTATGGCCTTCCTTCCAAGCTAGGCACCTTCAAACTCCAAGGCTCCTTCTAATGCACACGAAAATCCACAAGAATTCACTCAAAACCTCAAGAACACCACTAAGAAAGCTCAATACTCGATTTAGGGTTTTAGGTAACAAAGGAGGCTGGTAAGGAGGCCAGTCAAGGGGACATAAGGCCTTTAAATAAGGTGCAACACCTTAAAAATCAGGGTTTCCTTCCAAGCTGCCAATACGCCGTGTTAGTTCATTAAACTTTGCGGACAAATACATCTCGACACGTCGTATTGAGGCTCCAACACGCCGTGTCCCAAAGAGAAAACATAAATAACTTGGAATTAAAACCATACCGGGAAATCAAGCGTTACAATTCTCCTTGGATTCGTGTGATCCTTATCTGGAGGATCATCCTGTGTGTATTATTCATTTCTGGGGTCAGGGGATGCTTGTACCTGGTTGAGTCGGGTGAGTTATTGGTTGGTTTCACCACCCGTAGGTGGTAGTTCGAACCCTAAGTGGGGGAGAACTGGGTATTTTACTTGGAGGATATTCGATCTGTTCGGGTTAGTGGTATTGAGGAATGCTTTTTAGGGATATGCGGTGCGAGTATGTGGAATCTCGGTTCAGGGTTTGGTCAAGGAAATGGTATATAGTAGGTAATGATCGTATGCATGTGTGGAGGAGACAAATGGGTTGTCACTCATCAGGAAAGGAGTGATCAAGGAGCTCAATGCAGATATTGATTCCTATTGGGGGTGCCAATAAATAGATAAGAACCGTTGGGATTACTCAGGTCGAGTATCGGTGGTGGAGGGAAATTGTCAGCTAGGTGTAAGGATTTCTAATCATAGTCAAGTTTGGGCAGGGATCGATCAAGGAATCAATTCTAGAATTTGGTGCGTTCAGCCCCGCAAAGGTCTTGGTTCATTCGATTTAATGTCATGTGTTCGCGATTAGTGGTCGCGTCGTTTGTCTTTCAGCAAAGGGCCTTTGGAGGTTTTGAGTGTGGCAGTAGAAATTCTCTGAATGCATTATCTTTTCACCAGATTTAGTATGTTTTAGGTTCGTTTGGTATTTGAGTATGCTTACCCTCAATGGCGGTGTGGGATTTTGGTTCATAGCAGCCTTGGGTAGGGTGGCGATCATAGTCGTTTCGGAAGCCTTCTCGATTCAGTTGCGTGTTGGTGGAACCTGTTCAGTCTGAATCAAGTATGGAATCTTGTTTTGATCGATCATGAGGATGTCTTTTGTTAAGATTGAGGTTCGTTGTTCAATAGAATTTTGGTATTTCTGCCTTTTTGAGTGAGGTTATGGGTTCCCTGAGGATGTGCATTATGGTAATTCAGTGTGTGTATGTGGGTTGGACCAGATAGCAGTGGTAGCAAGATGTTTTGTGAAAGGATTTGTGCATGGTAAGATTTTGGCCTTGTTGTGTAGTTACTGTTGAGAGGGACGTTGTGTAGGTCCCTACAAGGCAGTGGGAAGAGACTGAGAGTCTTTGGGCCCGTATTGTAGGTCACGAGTTCCATGTGAAATATGTAATGTCGACAAGATCAGCGTAATAGCGGGAGCATTCCAGTCATGGGCTGAGGGTCGTGTAAGGCATTCCAGACTCATGTTGTGGGCTCGGTGGCAATCCAGACCTATGCTGAGGACTTTGTAAGGGTATTCCAGACATAGGCTGCGGGCCCAGTGTTCATGATTGTTGATTTCTTCTGATTATGGTATTTTCGGTATCGGTACATCGAGGAAAGCCGGGAGGCACACAATCAACTGGTTTGGATAAAAGGAACGGTTAAAGGTTGTTGGGGGTATCGACCGTATGTCAAAAAGTCTCTCATAATGTTTACATTATGATCTCGTTTTCTCGCAAGCTGTTATAATGGGTTGATTATCAAGGTTGGGAATCGGTTATGGAGTCTCAAATCAAATGTTCTTCGTTCATGTATCGGGTGTTTTGCTAGATGGTGGTACACATGAATTGTTAAGGATTGGGGGTAAATGAGGAATTTTTGGAATTCTCATCCTCTCCTATAGGATCAGTGGTTGGAATGACATGTCAGGGAGTCACGGGTTAATTAAAGGCTTTTGGTGCATCTTATGGATTAGGGTATAGTGGGAAATTCGCAATGCATGTGTTTGGGTTCTTTTCAGATAAGGTATTGGATTCCCGGTTTTGAGCTGAGTAGTGATGGTTGTCCTTTACCAGTTAGCGTTAGCAAGATCAAGGATTCATCAGTCGTCAGTAGAAGGTTCCTGTTTTGAATGGGTTTGATTAATGAAAGGCCATCATATGGCAGGGTCGACTTTTATCTGGGATCTGGTAGGTGGTCGGATGTATATGTTTATGGGTATCTGTAGATTTGTTCAGGCCGGATAGGTTGTTCGGTTTGGGTTGTGAAATTGAGTTTGTATGGGAGCAATTTTGATTGGTTATGTTTGTCTTGGAGACCGACATTGTTTAGGGTTTTCAATTTCAGGTACATCGGTTGGATACTCGTTGGATTAAGGAAAAGTTTGAGGTTTATTCTTCGTTAGGGCTTGTGATATCTTCTATTTTGGGTTCGACATCAGTAGGGGTGGGTGGTCATCTGAGCGAGGTGATTTCCACAATCATTTTGGGATTCAGGGAGTTCAGTCAGGATCGTTTAAGCAGGTAAAGGATATAGTGAGGAATGATTTCGAGGACGAAATCTAATTTAAGTAGGAGAGAGTTGTAACACCCGGAATTTAAGGAGAAACTTTGGGTATAAATCACCTTTTTAGGGATTGGACACGACGTGTTGGAGGCACCAACACGACGTGTCTAGATAAGAAAGGACGTGGGTCTCATTAAGAGCAACACGACGTGTTGCCTCCTGGAACACAGCATGTTGGTCGCTGGAAATGAAACCCAAATCTTCCGGGTTTTTGCCCCTATTTAAAGGAATAAGGAGACTAGGGTTCGTTCACCCTCAGCCCCCCACCATCCCTCAAGCCCTGAAAGAAACCCTAATCATCTTTCCCTCTCATTTGTGAGCTAATGTTGTGTTTTGGAGCCAAAGAAGGAAGAAGTTGGAAGAAGGAAGTAAGATCCAACAAGCAAGTCCCTCACCTTTCATCTTGGCATCCTTTTGGACCTTTGTAAGTGTTCAACATCTGATTTTTATCATTCCATATTGCTAGATCTTAAGTTTTGTCCCCATAGCTTCTTGTTCTTGAACGTTAGGATGGTTAGATCTCATAAAGTTCGCAACTTTATGAATCTCCAGGTCAAGGTGACCTTGTAGAGTGTTGGATCTGGTTTATGGTTGAGTTTTGATGTCATGCATAGAGATTAGTTCGTAATCCTCATTGTTAACCTAATATGGGTTCAAGACATGCATTGGACATTCATGTCTATAAAGCACCAACATTTGGGATGGTTTTAGTGCTAGAACCTATTCTGGAAAGTATTGGGCATCAACTTTAATGATTGAGTGCTTATTGGTTAAGTCATTGCATATTTAAGCCTTATCAATGGGTTTTGGACCCTTTGGAGTAGTCCCAAAGGATAAAGTTGGAAACTTTATCCTTCTTCTTATCATTTTGGTCCAGATATGAGCTTTGGAGCTTTGGGAATCGAAAGAATCAGCTTAATGGATTAAAATATTGGAACTCTGGTAAACACGACATATTTGCAGGTCAACACAGCGTGTTGGATGGGGTTTTCCTGACTGTTTGGATGCGGGAGGAACACGACGTGTTTGCAAGTCAACACGACGTGTTGGAGTCAACATGGATTGTTGACTTTAACTTTTGACTTTGACCAAGTTGACCTAAAGGGTATTTTGGGATTTTGATGGTTATTGGTCACTTGTATGGATAGGTTTTGGTTGGAGCTGAGATTCGGAGTCGGTACCTTATGAACTATGGATCAGATCGAGAGGTGAGTTTTCCTCACTATACTTTCGGGTGGAAGGCTGCATGGCTGGCAACTACTATAACCACGCTGCAAAACAGAATTCGAGCAATTGGCTTTAACGAACCTATTTCATTAGAATGATCGAAGAACCCGCTTATCTAT